AGCTTTATGCCCTCAGCATCGTTCCTCATCTTTTGGGGTTCTTCCTTTAACCTCTAAGTATAGGAAAGACATCTTTTGGTTGGGAATTTTATGCACTATCTTATGCACTTGGACTCATAGGCATCAGCTCTAACTACGACACAGCAAAAGGACAGTTCTACTAATATTCAATATTGTTTTAAGATATTTTTATCGGATAATTTACACCAAAATTCACCACACAACTTAACCTGAGCACTCAGAAAGCATAGACTGTAAAGTCTTTTCAGCTTGTTGGTTTGTCAAACTTCCCAACGATCATAAAAATTCAGAACTAAAGCCAGTTTTCTGGGACTTTATCCTACAACCTCATCTGACATAACTGTATTTATGTAGTAAGTATTATTCTGCATAATCAACAGAAATACTGTTGCGTATCACTAGAAATAACGAGAAATTGATGAAAGAAATCACTCTTACATCTTAACACTGAACACTGCTTATTCTCAATATACATATTCAGTGGAGACTGGCTATTAATTCATATTAACTTGTAGAAACCTCAGTATCATTTTTTCACTTGGTTATGACCCAGTGTCTGGTTTTATAAAGGTTTTGAAGCTTTAATTTATGTACTTTGGCATTTGTTCTGCTGTGTACTTGTCCTTTGCTCTAACATAATAGTTTTATATAAAAAAAAAGCAAATGGATGTGTTATAACTATTATGCTAAATGAACAAAGATACATAAGTTCACTTGTTATAAATCCTTGTAATGTGATGAGTAAAGTGAAAATTTTATGATAATTAATTTAATGAGGCAATGTTCATACTTTGAGAAGGTTCTGAAATTTGATTTGCTTGAGTGTGTTATAACAAAAACATTACATTAAAAAAGGAAAATTGTGCTTCCTGTACATCGTCTTAGATATTTGTGTTAGTTTTTAATGTATACACATCTTAGAAAAAAACATTATAAGTGGTATTTGATAACGACGTTCCTCGCAGACAAACATCAACTATTAATTAAAATTATGTGAAAGTTGAGTAATTATTGCTCTTACCCTATTTTCTTGCAGATTAGCTTTGAAATGTTACTTCTCCATATTTACACGGCTGAAGCAACTACATGACACTTCAGTGATCAGATTATTTTGTATGTATTTTTGCTTGTCGAGATCTTCAGTTTTGTTGTTTATCTCTAAAGAAATATATTCACTCAAACACTGCATAACAAGATTATCAAAATAATTTGAAAATAAACTTTGTCAATATAACTTCTTCTACATTTGATTTCAATTACGACACCGGAAGTCACGTGACGCTAGTAACACGTCATGATATTCTCGAAGGTTCTTGAATGCTGGAATGTTTACTAGATGTGCGGTATTCTTGTATATAAGACCGCCAAGAAGTGACGGCGACAATGGAACTGAATTGTAGACAGAGATAGAGACAGACAATTGAGTCAAGCGCGTGAATCGTTCGTTGTGAATTATAGCGTTT